TACAACAAATTACAATCTAACAAAACAGGACTTTGTCTCTGGTCTGAATCTTTCATATTAAATAAATTTGCATCAGTCTCAAGGTTCTGCACTAACAACGGAACCTCTACATTGGAATTTAAAGTCCATTAACACTAAAATTGTGCACACATATATCTACAGGCTTACAGTCAGAGGCGGCCCTCCGGGGAGAGCAGGGATGACCCCAACGCTTTTTCAAGTACCCCAAAAGTGTCCCTTTTTCTTTGACAAGTTCCCATTTTCCTTTGCATTAATTTCCGTTCTCATAAGTGCCCTTAATTATCTCTAGTAAGTGCCCCTTATCAGGTACGAGAAGTGCCCCTTTCATCTCTGATAATTACCCTATTCAAATCTGAGAGGTGCCTCTTTAACTTTGACAAGTGCCCACTTTTCCTTTGTAAAAAGTGCCCCTTCCCCTTTAAATAACTACTTTTGTACTTTGACACGTGTTCCTTTTATTTTTCCAATAACTGACTTATCCCTTTTGATAAGTGTCCCCTTTTCCTCTCATCATTAAACATGCCCCTAATTTCAAGCGACTAAGAGCAATTTCCCCAAAAGCTTGCTCGCTACACTCGCTCGCATTTATAGATGATATTATTATGTTACTTATTAAAGGTCTTTTCATTCTTCTTGGGTTTTTCCTCTTTATAAGATGTTATTTTTTGCACTGCGACCTCACCAATCTTAAAAAATTTCCTCGCTCGCAAATGTATTTTCAGACCTTCACACCCAACTGCAAACTATGTATAATGTGTAATGAGAAACAAATATTGCAATCATCTCTGATAATGTAATCACAATGTAGGTATATATAGCCTACCCATGTCTGAAAAGTGGTATATTTTTGCTTTGAGATTTCTGGCCCAAAATAGATCCTGCAGCCAGAGTCAAAATATACCAGCCCATTCATGCCTATATGCAGAAATATATGAAAAAATGTTTATTCTGCCGATTATGCCATTTTGCCCGCCTAATTTCGACTGATTTTGTTTTAAAATTTATTGAAATTATTATGTTTTGGGCGTCATGTGAGCCTTGGAGGCAAAACGTGAACTGAATCACTGTAACACTCGGGTCTCTCCTCCCCGGCCAGAATAACTGGTTGGGATTGTGCAGGTGGCCCACTACAGCAGAGTTCCCCCCTACTCTTGTACGAATAGTGCAGTTGGTTCTTAACGTGCAAAGATGGTGAGTATTGGTGACACATCTATACACGGGGCCTCCATTTAATGTCCTATCCGAGGGACGGATATATGTTAAAACGCGGTATCAGAATGCCGATTGGAGGTCTAAGGCTTTATCGTGCAATATTATTGCATAGAGTGTTTGGAAGTTCGAGGATATCCGGGTACTTGTCATTATTGTTGTAATGCTTAGGTAATCCTTCGATACTAGACGAAATAAACATGAAGAAGAAGAAGAAAAAGAGAGAATGAGAGAGAGACAGAGAGAAAGAGAGAAAGAGAGAGCAAGAGAGAGAGCAAGAGAGAGAGCAAGAGAGAGAGCAAGAGAGAGACAGATAAATAGAGGAAGAGAATCAAATGGATAGAGGATATGGGTAGAGAGAGTTAGCTGGGAGGGAAAGAGGGGAGAGGAGAGACAGAGACGGACAGACAGACAGACAGATAGATAGACAGACAGGTAGACAGACAGAGACAGAGAGAGGGGCTGAAGAAAAGTTAAGTCTTGATAATGCTCTGTTTAATAATATCTTCATGATAAATATTAGCCGATGGGGCAGATCTAGCCTTTTAAACTAAACCAAAAAAGAGATTTGTTGATATATATATTAATTATAGTCAATGTTTTAATACATACTACACCATTACTGGTTATTAGTAGGACTCAAAGTCTTAAAACTGTGTTCTCTCGCTTCCCTCCCTCGCCAGGAGACCAATGCTATCAAGTGCGATGAGAGAATAACTATAGAGTTAATAAAAATGCGTACAAATGAATGTCTTTTTTCAAATGCTCAATTATCCTTCTTAGACGAAAGGATATAGAAACTTTAGATGTTAATAGATTGATGTATAGACAAATGCTCATGTACCTGTTACAGCTCATTTTAAGTATGTTATTACCAAAGAAAAACAGATGTCAGTCCGTCACTCAATAGTGTATGACAGTGAAGTCTAGAAGATAAACGGGTTTTCTTGCACAATTTGAAAACTAGGACACTGCCAACGTTTACATTTGACAAATAGGACCTACATGGCATATTCATAATTCCTGCAAACTTCTACAGAATTTGATGTTGGCTGCAAAAGGGACATAGTAACTTTAATCCAGTGTGAGGCTTTGTAACAGGATAACCGATCCCATGACAGTCCATCGTATCACCTGGACTCCCTGCACCAAGGTGCACCATCGTTTTTTAAGGGGCACGGGGCATTTGCCCCTCCCATAAATTTTTAACCACGAAGATAAGTTTATATCTTTCTTTTACGGTGAAGTGGTAAATTATTGTAAGGTAAATCAAGATAAAATAAAAATCGCCCACAACTGTTACGAATTACACTGCATTGGAACGAATATTTTCATGCTGGAATATATACATGATATATATAGATCACCATTGATCATCAAATCAAATTGTTTATTCTAGTTACTACTGACACGATACTATTGTAAAGATATCACAAAAATGCTAGGAAATCCCCCCCCCCCCCCCCCCCACTTCTCCCCTCCGGAAGCCGAGGAATGGATACGCCACTACAAAGCCACCGACATGTCGCCTTCTGTCTCATTGCGTTTGGACTTCTCGGCGGATATTTGACTCATTACTAACCCACGTTCACCACGTTTAGAGAAAATGGAAATATTTCTCGGAAATTTACCATTGCTAAGAACAAGTGGCACGAAAGGATGTGTGAGGTTCTCTTCTTTTTTAATAATTAAAAAGATTAGAATGGTTAAAACACCTGGTCTGACTCATTTTCTTAAAATTATAAGTTATAATCACAAGTTTTTACTTTATATGGAAATATATTTGAGCACGGACCAACAAATCTACCTAAGTATCAAACTATGGGTTGCAAGTGGTTGAAGAGTGATTTTGATTTATAGTAACCCACTACTTGTAATGACCATAATTAAACTGATTGAATCTTTGTGGAGCACAAAACGTATGAACATTCGGTAAATGGGTCTGAAAATCAGACTAATACTTGGGTGATTACAATCACTTAAGTCGATTTTTTTTCCCACCAAAAGCCATTTTCAAGCCCTTTCTGTTTGAGGAAAGTCCTAAATTAGTATTGTCTTTCAAATGCCCTTGAAATTGAAATTTTGCATTTGTTTGGCCTGCAAATGGGACATAGTACCTTTAAAGGTACAATCTTATCCAATTTGTAATAAAAGTTATGGATTTTATTCAAAAATCATGTTTTGTATGATTTGTTTATGTGCGTTTTTATTCAATACAAAACTTCAATCACAAGGAACCAGCAATGTTTAGTTTTTTTTTAAAAGGATAAAGGATAATTTATGAATATCATATGAAGGCATAACCATATAACATGAACAATGGGTTGAATAAGTAATATGGCTCCGAAAATTCTATAAAATCTTTTGCTGTTTCATGAAATTTAAGAACATAACAATAATTCATGAATATATTATTTAAACTATTATAATATGAATATGCATTTGGTACATTAAAGTATAGACATTTTCATAAATGACTACATATTCGGGTGTTTGCATTACATTTCAGTTACCTAACGAAAGCATCAAAATATATTTAAACGTCAACGAATTTACATTTTGCTCTAAATACACTATCAAGAAACTAGTGGCATAATAACTCTGAACTTTTATGCATATTTGGCAGTTTTGACAGCATTTAATGTTTAAGTGAAGAAGAAAAAAAAGCAAACATCATGAACAACAATAAGAGTATCACTACATGCATTAGACTCAAGACACCCCCCCCCCCCCCCCCCCCCCCCGTTAAACAAAATGAAAAATATATACTCAAGTTCATGTTGTCTTTTAAAAGAAAAGAATCCCTTTATCTTGAAAATAAGCATTGTAATTGCGTCTAAAAGTTTTGTTTTATGTCTGTGACTGTTAAAATGTTAGAATGTTAGGTACGAAATATATGAATCACTAGAACAAAGGTGAAATAGACTATTGGACTAAATAGACTATTATTCATTCACGACCAATGACGTAATTTACTTAAAGAGAAGGTTGAGAACTCATGAATACTACTACACTGCGTCAAAAGAGAGAGGTTGAAGAAAAGGTATCGTTAGTCTCGGCATTCAAACCTTTTCCTTGACTGGAAACTGCACTACAGCTTATAAAGCAGCAATGTTGCGGTACACTGTTGAGAAATTAAGACACATGACAAATAGTTGTATTGATTATATATTATATTATACACAGTCAATAAAAGTATCGACAATCTTTAAAGGGCCTTGCAAGAAACATCTTAAAACTTGTATTAGGGCCAAAATGTTGTAAAAACAAAATCATAATAGAAAATGTTCCTTAAACTCTGGTGGCAAAATACACATTATCAGCAACATTATAGTCATTTTTTTTTCTTTTCAAATATTAATTTTGCTACTGGCAGTGTTTTATTCACCCCATTTGTTGTTAACAAAATGAGGGCTTCAAATTTTACTCAGAAAGAAAACCACAGCGTCCTTTTAACTGAAATTTGACATAGTTATACATGTACTTTCATAAACTCATCTTGCTGCTATACAGGTAAATTTTGATATAAGTTTTTGAGGGATTGCAAATCCCTGATATGGGCTTTAATTTAAGTATAATTGCTTACTTGAATCGAGAAATTCAATAGCAAGCACAGCTTATTAAGGCACGGGAGTAGCGTGAAAATGGATCGGAAATATTTAATGTGACTGCAAACACAGACTAAAAAGTAGGCGGGGAAAAGAACTACTAGTATACCACTTTCGTCTCCAGGATGCTTGGCTGGAATGGTACTGGTAGTTAGTTTGGTTCCAGAGAGAAGAACAGAAAATCGCCCACGGGAAATAATCTGCGTCGTCACAAATCACCGGTCGAACTGTGGGTCAAAAAAAGTTCTGTGATCTCTATAAATACAGGTCCTATTTCTGAAAGAGTATCAGTTGAAACTTAGGAACCAGCTTAGAAAAGTGGCAAAAAGGTAACAATATAGCATCGCAGGTGAAAAAGAAAAGAGGCAAACAGCAGAACAATTATAGATCTGGATATACTTTCACAACTTGGCAAAAGGCAACGGAGTTCGAGTGCAATATAGTTAGTGTGCAATTTGCAAGATGGAGCTCTCGGTGATTTTTGTGTGCATGGGCGTTTTGCTCATGGGCACCGCAAACGTAAGTATGATTTTCAGCTTTTGCCATTCTACGATATTTATCAATTTTTTCTAAGTTGTTGCCCTTTATATTGACTTTTTAGTGTAGGTCTGATTCTGAAAGAGTAGATTTGCATCTTTAAAATGATATGTAGCTCATCAAAATTTTCTGCTGTTTCTCTATGTTTTTCTCTTAATCGGATCAACTTGTTCTGTGGTGGCCATGTTTTGATTGTTTAATAGTATCACGAAGGGAGCGAAAACAACTTATTCGAAACTTTGATTATTGCGGAATTATAATCACGGTATTCGACAATTGTTTTATATAAATGAGGGCCGTCGGAAACAGAAAAACCAAGTTTTTTCCGAAACTTGAATTATTGCGGAATGATAATTATGGTATTCGGAGCATGGAATATGAAAAATGCAAGCACATCGATCCTCGAAACTGATTTGTATTCAAATAAGTTGAAGATGACTCATCATGCTCAAGCGTTCTCTTTCCTTTTCTCTAATGCTATAGTGAAGTGTTCTCTTCCTCACACCCCCCCCCCCCCCCCCCACTCAGAGGTCGGAATGACCGCATGCGTGTTGCCAAAATGTCCGGTAAAGGGGTACTTTTTGTGCAACAAAGTCCGGCCCAAGAATTGTAAAAAAAAAGGGGTGTATTTGACTTTTCACCCGGATATTTCTTTAAAAAGGGGGTGTTTTTCTTTTTTTCTCTCATATCTTTGGACTCCTGATAAATTATTCCGAATTTAGGGGGGTACATTGAGCATTTTTCCTGATTTAGGGGGGTCTCCAAGGCAGGAAAAGCCCGCGAAAATCCCGCGAAAGGGGGGTTCGGAAATATTGGCAGTCCTCAGATAGGGGGTGCTTTCAAAAAGAGGGTACGAGCATATGCGTACCCTAAATAACACTGAGTGGGGGGGGGGGGGGGGCCGGGTCCTCACAACTCTCATCTGCTCTCTGCATGGGCTCTCTCTCTCTCTCTCTCTCTCTCTCTCTTTTCTTTCTTTCTCTCTCTCTCTCTTCTCTCTCTCTCTCTCTCTCTCTCTCTTTCTCTCTCATGCACACACACACATGCTCTCTCACTCCCTCCTCCCTTCCCTGGTTCTAACATTCACTCTCTCACTTTGTCTTTCTTTCCCACAGGCGGAGTATAACTACAAGACAGGGTTTCTGAACGCGCAGGGAGTCCCCGATGGTGGGGTGAGTATATCGTGCAGGGTCGTGGAATAACATTGACCTCTCGATTCATGTGTTTGGATTCAGATTTGTAACAAGTTAACAACATAGACACCAACCTCTATCCATCCGTCAGAAATTATGTTAACGTTACTAAATCCCTTTTAAGATAATCATTTTATGCGTGTGTAAAGCTAAAAACAGAAACTAGAATTTCAACATATAAGCAGGAAACAATAATATAGTCGGCCCCAACACTCTCCGAATTGTATTCATCAATTAAGATAATGATGCAAATCCGAAACAAGGAACTGCCGACCAATTGTCATGTGGGGTGAAATTAACTACTAGATTAATAATTGTTCAAGTATAATATGCTCAACGTTGTTTCGATCAAACTATATTATCATCATATAATGTTATGTTGAAAAATACATACTAGAATTTGAAGAGAATGAAACTAAGAAAATAGATGCGAATACTAATAGTGGATAAAGATAATTAATGATTTACAGGAGATGCATTTATGATCTGTTTTCAAATAAATACAGATATATAATTTAATCTTCTTTAAACATGACTTATGACTTGCTTGTTGTAATTGATTGTGTATGATGTCATTCGTGGTTTTGTATGTGAATAAAGATTTTATAAATAGAAGAAAAGCTGGGCATTTCTTCTGACTTCACCATAACCGTGGTATAAAAATAAATATAGATAGATATAGATATCTGCCGAGAATCAATAATTAGAGAGTCAATGAATGAAAACTAAAAAAATTATTAGAATACATGTATAACGCACTTTTCAAGCGATATAATGGTGGCAATGTTGATAAGCCTCTATAGTCCCGCTATAGTCTCACTTTTTGTGATCTTATATTATGTTTCTTGGAAGTTTCTCTCGCTAATTTTCTCCAACATGAGACTCTGTTTGATATACACAATAAGCTGCATAACAAATAATTGTATTGTTTTGTATCGTTTGGTTTAAAATAATCAGCTAAGTTCTGAAACTGTTTAATTTACAGAGTAGAATGTACATGACATGTACTAAATGAAATTGTCTTATTCTACATAGGCCTAGTCTTGATGTCTGTATAATGTGAAAAACGTGGTATATTATCATTTTTTCAATACATTTTTTACCTTCTTTTTTTCAATCAGATGGATGTTGTACCACCATCATTCGAAGGTAAGTTACATAATATTATCTGCTTGTACATAACTCTGTTTTGTATAATTGATTCTGTGATTGTATTATTGTGTTTCTATTGATCAGTGTATCATAAATTTATATATCTGATATTATTGAAGATTAGAATGGATTGCCCGATCTTCTTGAATATGGAAATAGTAAAGTTAGAAAATGCAGTTTAACGTCAAGTTCATGGGAGTCAATCAATAACTGCATAAACTCTCATCGCTTTCTTGCAAAATTCGGTGATTATTTTAAAATTCGGTGATTATTTTAAAATTCTAGAAGCATTAATAATTTTTTATTTTATCTGACTGTCAACTCGAAAGTATTCCCTAATGCAATTAGTTAACCTACATAATTATGTAGGTCCTACCCAAATGACCCGAAAAATATTGTACATTAACACCAAAGGGTTATCCTAATTCTTTGGTATTACAAAGTGAACCATCTCGATCACAACATATCACCCATATATACAGTGAAGTATTGACGATGTTTAAACACTTTTTTCCTAACATTCAATGAATATCAATTATTCACGGGTTTTTTTTATTTTCTCCTTTTGTTTTCATTTCGAAATATAGAAATACAGGCTTTTGGCACTGCAAATAGTGGTGATGCATTTACAAACATTATGGCAAGAAATATAGCTATAAACGATACGGGTGAGTATCTTAATTTGTACCTTCTCTTTTTTTTCTTTCTCTCTCTCTCTCTCTCTCTCACACAAATGCACTCTCACGTCTCCCTTTCTCATTCTCTCATTTCTTTGCACCACCCCCTTCCACCCCTCCCCCTATCTCTCTATCTCTTTCTCTCCTCTAGTGTATATCTTATATTCTTACCTAATTATGTATATTATTAATTCCAACAGCCTTAGAGGTGCGAACATCATAACCATGATGAATCCGAACATGACGTCTACATGAGATTACCACTAGAATGTTGAAATGGTTCTTAAGTTGATTTCTCGAAAGTTTTTGCGATCGTATTATCCAATAGGCCATGCTCGTAATGTAACGAAAGTTAGTCATATAACTTTGTGAAGCTCCTCGAATTCAATTATTTCATTCACATGTTACGAATAAATATATCTCAATACAGTCAGAATTTAAATTGCATACATTAGCTGTTGCTAGGTGGGACAAACATTGTGGCTTGTCTAACCCAACAACACGTAATATATTCAATTTGCATTCCGACTATTGAAATACAATTATTCGTAACGGGTGAATTAAATATTTCGTATCGAGGCATTTAAGTATAATTTAAGTAATTATAATCTTTCCCATTCCATGCTTTTTTCGACACCAGTAACCCTTATTTCCTATTTTTTTTCTCCCTTTTTTTCTTCAGAGTTGTGTCTGGAGCAGGGAGATATTCCCGTCCCATGTAACAGCACCGGTCGAGCCAAACGAAACGCTCTCCGTGATCGCGGTATGAGATGGGTAAACGGTGTGGTTCCATACGTCATCGACAACCGATACGGTAAGGAAATCATTGACATAGCCTTAAATGGTATCATGCAATAGGGCGTTTTCGACATGTATGTAACTGCAAGCATTTTTTTTTAGGGGGGGGGGGGGTCAAGAGGCCCCGGTTAAGATACACTGATATATATCATTATTGAAAGTAACCTACATACTATGTTATTGCTTTGTAATGTAATTGTACTTTGATATCTAGTTGACACAATGACATAATGATTTGGTGGAAGTGAGATCCGATGATACGGAATTCCGATACATCCTGCGTGATAAAACATTGAGGTCAAAATGTTTCACCAACCCTGTGTTGTACAGGGTTGGTGAAACAGTATAGGCTATTGTGGAATTCCCAGTTCATAATTTTTATGGTCACCATGTTCAATAAACTGTTAACATCACATTACATTACAAGCATACAGTGTATACATTTGTATTTTTATCATACACTACAAGCATATATTTGTATTTGTATCAATTTACTTATCTTTTTCATATTTTTTCGATGGAGCAGATTACGGTACTCGCGCTCGCATCACGAGGGCTATGGAGCGTTACCATGAAACCACTTGCATCCGATTCGTAGAGAGAACAAGAGAAACAGACTACATCTATATCTTCCCCGGTAACGGGTAAGTAGAGCGATTATTTCATTTCATTTTCATTTCAAAGACTTTATTTTCTGCAATCAAACAAATCAGTTATACAACAAATATGGATAATTATATAAAACATAAGGTATGCAAACAATATACAAAATATAGAAACAAATGTATAATACATGAGTAAGAGTAAACTTATACGTTGGGCCATTGCGTGTATAAAGAAAGAAAGCAGAAGGTCGCCGTTATAAGCAAAAGCTTGAGTAGACGGTCAACCGAGCTAAAATAAAAATGAGATGTGAAATATTGGCAAATTAACAAGAAGAGGGGGCCATGATACTCAAATGATATATATTACAATTAAATGTGAATATAGACAGTTGTATTCAATATAAATAATTATAGAAT